ATTGTACAGTGGCATTAAGTGCCATAATGTGCACCTCTGCCTACCCCTTCGGGGATAAAAGGCGTGATGTTATGTTATATGTAGTTTCAAGAAATAGATCATTGATTTATAGAGCTCAACTACAGAAGCAAGAGGTCTTAGTACAAGTTTCTTTTACGTTTAAAAGTAATCGTAACGAATACGCGTTCGGCGCTCTGATTGGTTCGTTCATTGGTACCGGCCAATCAGAGCGCCGAACGCGAACTCGTTTCGAATACTTTAAACGTAAAACAAACTCGTACTAAGGCCTCAGATGTTAACAGATAACGTATATCTATCTTCTTCTACGTATTTACAGCAGAATTTACTTTTATGATTTTTTTATTTTCTACATCTCTCTCGTAATTTTCTGTAAAGTATTATCCGTATTTAAAGTTTAAATAGAGTAGGTACGGTGGCGAAAATCCGTTTAAATTTTAAACCGAACATAAATGCTGTTAAGGTCTACAATTGGGTACTTTCCCTAATCAAGAATAAAATAATTCGACTATTCAATACAATAAAATACTAAAAAACTAAATTCATTGATTTTATGACCAATTTACTTTAGTATTTTTCCCTCAAATTTTTAAGAAACAAGTATGTTGTTTGACACTAAAAAAATGTGACGTCACAATCCACAATCTCGTACAAAATTCATAGAAAACTGTCGTTTTTGACAGTTCGAAAAAAGTATTGAATCTGACTAGTTGGTAAGTACCTACCTAATTTAAAAACCCCATGATAAACGAATAGGCGTATCTAAATAGCATTAAATATTCTCAGTAGCTAGGTAAACACTCTTTGCGTGCGGACTCCTAAAAATGGAAGATCATCTGATAATTAATGATCACTGAATGACTGTCAAGTTTGCATGATTTGCAAAATAATGTGAAATCTTATGGAACGATGTTTTTAAGTTGATAACTAATTGATTGGTGCATATTGTATTACGCAAGATATAGGCGTCAAGTACAAGTAAGTCTGTCGCGGAGAATCTAACGGGTTACGGGGGCTCCGGCTCGACGTGCAGGAGAAGGAACGGGGTGATTTTTAGTCAGTAAGAGTCTGACACTCCCTCCCGCCTCACCCAGGCGGGAGCAGTCATTCGATGATTCCCCCCCTTAAAAAAAGTCCAAGTAAGACTGCATGTTTGGCGCGGTGGCTGGGTAACTGGCTGCCGCGTAACGTGTCGCGGGTTCGATTCCCGCACGGAACAACACTTTGTGTGATCCAAAGATTGTTGTTACGAGTCTGGATGTCATTGTGTATGTGAACTTGTATGTTTGTAAACGCACCCACGACACAGGAGAAAATAGTAGTGTGGGGCAACGTTTAAAAAAAATAGAAAGACTGTTACAAATACATATAATCAGGTTAAAATCACCAATCATAAGATCTCCTGCCCTGGCCGGGTGAAACGAGTGAGAGTGTCAGACTCTTACTGACTAAAATCCATACCATTCCTCGTGTTTCCTGACCCACTTATTAACTATAGCTACTAACTACTTCGCAAAAACTCTCCTACTCTTCAAAACACACAATAAAATCAACGAACTCGCTGAAAAACTAACAGATAGCCACATACATGGTCCTAATTGTCCGGTATTTGGGCCGCGTCCCGTAATTCCGGCCGGCCGTATTGATGAACTGTGTCCATAACTCATTACCTTTATTTAGCCGACAATGCTGACCGCTAAATAATGAGGTTACGACTGCTGTGGTACGTTTCAAATGTGAAGATAGTTTTGCATC